CACATGTTGATGTAGAAGAGACATGAAGAAGAGGGGACACATGTTGATGTAGAAGAGACATGAAGAAGAGGGGACACATGTTGATGTAGAAGAGACATGAAGAAGAGGGGACACATGTTGATGTAGAAGAGACATGAAGAAAGAGGGGACACATGTTGATGTAGAAGAGACATGAAGAAGAGGGGACACATGTTGATGTAGAAGAGACATGAAGAAGAGGGGACACATGTTGATGTAGAAGAGACATGAAGAAGAAGGGGGACACATGTTGATGTAGAAGAGACATGAAGAAGAGGGACACATGTTGATGTAGAAGAGACATGAAGAAGAGGGGACACATGTTGATGTAAGAAGAGACATGAAGAAGAGGGACACATGTTGATGTAGAAGAGACATGAAGAAGAGGGACACATGTTGATGTAGAAGAGACATGAAGAAGAGGGACACATGTTGATGTAGAAGAGACATGCAGAAGAGGGGACACATGTTGATGTAGAAGAGACATGAAGAAGAGGGGACACATGTTGATGTAGAAGAGACATGAAGAAGAGGGGACACATGTTGATGTAGAAGAGACATGAAGAAGAGGGGACCCATGTTGATGTAGAAGAGACATGAAGAAGAGGGGACACATGTTGATGTAGAAGAGACATGAAGAAGAGGGGACACATGTTGATGTAGAAGAGACATGAAGAAGAGGGGACACATGTTGATGTAGAAGAGACATGAAGAAGAGGGGACACATTGTTGATGTAGAAGAGACATGAAGAAGAGGGGGACACATGTTGATGTAGAAGAGACATGAGAAGAGGGGACACATGTTGATGTAGAAGAGACATGAAGAAGAGGGGACACATGTTGATGTAGAAGAGACATGAAGAAGAGGGGAGACACATGTTGATGTAGAAGAGACATGAAGAAGAGGGGACACATGTGATGTAGAAGAGACATGAAGAAGAGGGGACACATGTTGATGTAGAAGAGACATGAAGAAGAGGGGACAACATGTTGATGTAGAAGAGACATGAAGAAGAGGGGACACATGTTGATGTAGAAAGAGACATGAAGAAGAGGGACACATGTTGATGTAGAAGAGACGTGTGAAGAAGAGGGGACACATGTTGATGTAGAAGAGACGTGAAGAAGAGGGGACACATGTTGATGTAGAAGAGAGGACATGAAGAAGAGGCGGACCACAGGTTGATGTAGAGAGAAGCATGAAGAAGAGGACACATGTTGATGTCGAAGAGACATGAGGAGAAGAGGGGACACATGTTGATGTAGAAGAGACATGAAGGAAGAGGGGACACATGTTGATGTAGAAGAGACATGAAGAAGAGGGACACATGTTGATGTAAGAAGAGACATGAAGAAGAGGGGACACAGGTTGATGTAGAAGAAGACATTAAGAAGAGGGGGACACATGTTGATGTAAGAAGAGACATGAAGAAGAGGGGACACATGTTGAGAAGAAGAGACATGAAGAAGAGGGGACACATGTTGATGTAGAAGAGACATGAAGAGAGGGACACATGTTGATGTAAGAAGAGACATGAAGAAGAGGGGACACATGTTGATGTAGAAGACATGAAAGAAGAGGGGACACATGTTTGATGTAGAAGAGACATGAAGAAGAGGGGACACATGTTGATGTAGAAGAGGACATGAAGAAGAGGAGACACATGTTGATGAGAAGAGACATGAAGAAGAGGGACACATGTTGATGTAGAAGAGACATGAAGAAGGAGGGGACACATGTTGATGTAGAAAGAGACATGAAGAAGAGGGGACACATGTTGATGAAGAAGAGACATGAAGAAGAGGGGACACATGTTGATGTAGAAGAGACATGAAGAAGAGGGGACACATGTTGATGTAGAAGAGACATGAAGAAGAGGGGACACATGTTGATGTAGAAGAGACATGAAGAAGAAGGGGACACATGTGATGGAGGAAGAGACATGAAGAAGAGGGGACACATGTTGATGTAGAAGAGACATGAAGAAGAGGGGACACATGTTGATGTAGAAGAGACATGAAGAAGAGGGGACACATGTTGATGTAGAAGAGACATGAAGAAGAGGGGACACATGTTGATGTAGAAGAGACATGAAGAAGAGAGGGACACATGTTGATGTAGAAGAGACATGAAGAAGAGGGGGACACATGTTGATGTAGAAGAGACATGAAGAAGAGGGGACACATGTTGATGTAGAAGAGACATGAAGAAGAGGGGACACATGTTGATGTAGAAGAGACATGAAGAAGAGGGACACATGTTGATGTAGAAGAGACATGAAGAAGAGGGACACATGTTGATGTAGAAGAGACATGAAGAAGAGGGGACACATGTTGATGTAGAAGAGACATGAAGAAGAGGGGACACATGTTGATGTAGAAGAGACATGAAGAAGAGGGGGACACATGTTGATGTAGAAGAGACATGAAGAAGAGGGGACACATGTTGATGTAGAAGAGACATGAGAAGAGGGACACATGTTGATGTAGAAGAGACATGAAGAAGAGGAGAGACAATGTTGATGTAAGAAAGAGGGACATGAAGAGGGGACACATGTTGATGTAGAAGAGAACATGAAGAAGAGGGGGACACATGGTTGATTGTAGAAGAGACATGAGAGAGGGGCCACATGTTGATGTAGAGAGACATGAGGAAGAGGGGACACATGTTGATGTAGAAGAGACATGAGGAAGGAGGGGACACATGTTGATGATGTAGAAGAGACATGAAGAAGAGGGGACACATGTTGATGTAGAAGAGACATGAAGAAGAGGGGGACACATGTTGATGTAGAAGAGACATGAAGAAGAGGGGACACATGTTGATGTAGAAGAGACATGAGAAGAGGGGACCACATGTTGATGTAGAAGAGACATGAAGAAGAGGGGACACCATGTTGATGTAGAAGAGACATGAAGAAGAGGGAACATGTTGATTGTAGAAGAGACATGAAGAAGAGGGACACATGTTGATGTAGAAGAGACATGAAGAAGAGGGGACACATGTTGATGTAGAGAGGACATGAAGAAGAGGGGACACATGTTGATGTAGAAGAGACATGAAGAAGAGGGGACACACTGTTGATGTAGAAGAGACATGAAGAAGAGGAGACACATGTTGATGTAGAAGAGACGTGAAGGAAGAAGAGGGAGACACATGTTGATGTAGAAGAGACATGAAGAAGAGGAGACACATGTTGATGTAGAAGAGACCATGAAGAAGAGGGGACACATGTTGATGTAGAAGAGACATGAAGAAGAGGGGACACATGTTGATGTAGAAGAGACATGAAGAAGAGGGGACAATGTTGATGTAGAAGAGACATGAGAAGAGGGACACATGTTGATGTAGAAGAGACATGAAGAAGGGGGACACATGTTGATGCAGAAGAGACATGAAGAAGAGGGGACACATGTTGATGTAGAAGAGACATGAAGAAGAGGGGACACACGTTGATGTAGAAGAGACATGAAGAAGAGGAGACACATGTTGATGTAGAAGAGACGTGAAGAAGAGGGGACACATGTTGATGTAGAAGAGACATGAAGAAGAGGAGACACATGTTGATGTAGAAGAGTCATGAAGAAGAGGGGACACATGTTGATGTAGAAGAGACATGAAGAAGAGGGGACACATGTTGATGTAGAAGAGACATGAAGAAGAGGGGACACATGTTGATGCAGAAGAGACATGAAGAAGAGGGGACACAATATGAGAAACTACATGTGAGCCAACATTTATAGCTTGTATACGTAAATTAATAAAACAGGATTTTACCATCAAACTGTTTTTATACTTTCATAAATGTCATATTAGGATAAATCGATGGTTTACACCTCGTGCTTATCTCTCTGGTTTAGACCTAAAGCTAATATCGAGCTAACCCCCGATTTATAAATCTCAGATTGTACCCCTCACAATTAACCCCGGAGTTTGGCCCTTCGTTAAACTCTCTATTACCCCTCACGCTAAACTCCCAGATGTACACGTCACTTTATCACTGAAGTTTACAACGGACGTAAAATCCTCGTATTTACACCTCATGCTTATCTATCGGGTTTACATGTTTTACACTTTCAGATTTACTCCTCATCCTAAATTCTCAGATTTAGACGTCACCCTAGAGACACTGTAGTTTACCCCAACGTTAAACACTATTTTTCCCTTACCTTAAAGTCCCAGGTTTATAACTCACAATTACCTCTTGGTTTACACGTATTGTAAAACTCTCATTTACCCCTTTCTTAACATCTTCATTTCAAACCTTTATTTAAGCAGGTGAATCCCATCGAGATCATCGACCTCTTTTTCAAGGCAAGCAGGTTCCACATGAAGACAGAAAACCAGAAAGGACATCATACAACACAGATACAGGGATTTACAACTGACATACATGGTTCATGGTTTTGCCATGAATTTAAACTAGAGTTGACATGTCACGTTAAAGTGTTGGTTTTCCTCCTGACGCAGAAAGCCTCGGGTTTACAGCTCATGCTAATCTCTCGGGTTTACAGCTCGTGCTAATCTCTCGGGTTTACATTTCACTACCGAATTTAAAATTAGGTTTTTCTTTGATTAACCCCCAACGTCAAACTCAAAAAGTGTACCTCTCACTTAACTCTCGAGGTTACCCCTTATGCAAGACTCTCATATTTACACTTGGTGGTAAAATCTCTGGCTTACACCTCATGTTATGAATGTCCAAGTTTACCCTCACGCTCAGCTCTGACTGTAAAACTCTCCCGTTCACACCTCGCTTAACCCGGTTCATGTTAAAGTGTACAGTTTACCCCCAACGCTGAAGTCCCAGGACACCCCGATGTTACCCCTGATGTCTTGGCTTCACCCCGATCAACTCCCAGATTTCCCCCTCACGTGAAACCAGGATTATGTCTCTGTCCAGATGCATTATGGGAAATGTAGGATTAATTGTTTTTAGAAGTCAGAGAGCCTGAACAACAAAAACAGCATGAAGAAGAGATTTAAAAAACAGAAACGGTTTTATTGATTTATTACAGTTTTAATGAAACACCCTGAGAGACAGCAGCTGGGGGGGGGGCATGAGCAGCAGTGTGTGTGTGTGTAGGTGTGTGTGTGTGTTCATGTCTCTACAGGCGAGTATGTACGCGATTTGTTTATGTGTTTCTCTAAGGGTGTTTATATGCATGTCCCTTCATGTGTGTGTCTACGTGTGTGTGTCTACATGTGTGCGTTAGCTGCTCCTGACCCCTCACACTCGATGAGGAACGTGTCGTCGTTGCTCAGCTCGTCGTCACACTTTGTTATTGTGAACTTTGCCTGAAAAACACAAAACATTTAGTTATTGTTTACACTTTAATACTCCTTTATATGAAGCAAAAGCTAGTCTGTGCTTTCTCTCATGATGAGCCGACACCAGTGTGTAGATGTCTGTGTATTAAAGTATATACACAGGAGTATTAGTTCATATATACACAGGAGTATTAGTAAAGCCTTGAATCCTTGAATGTATATATATATATATATATATATTGAAATGTGTTTCCGCGGACCTGAGTCAGCTTCTCTGCGATGTGGATGGCCGTCTGTGTGTGCTGCGTCACCGGTCCGGTCCGGATCCGAGAGGTTCCCTTCGCCAGCGCCATGAAGATGATGACCTGAGGAAGAGGAGGAGGTCAGAGGTCAGCATTTAGAAATCCATACGTTCACAGTGACCTCACTGTGGTGTCATGAGGGGCGTCTCACCTGGTCCTGCAGGAACTCGTCCACACAGCCGTTGTGTCGGACGTTTCTCAGCAACATCTCAGCAGCTTCAGCACCAATCTGCTCTGCATACACACCTGACAGATAGACACACACACACACACACACACACACACACACACACACACACACACACACACACACACACACACACACACACACACACACACACACACACACACACACACACACACACACACACACACACACACACACACACACACACACACACACACACACACACACACACACACAGTTTGATAATCACTTCATTGGAAACCAGACTTCATGTACAACATTATAATATCTGATGTTCTTGCCTCTTCATTTAGCATGCGAGCCTACTTCATGTAATAATAATGATACGATGAGCTCCATTATGTCTTTGCTGCCGGTTTAAAGTGAAAATGAAGAGTTTAAAGTTAGTTTGAATCTCTCCTCAGGCGAGGCGCTCACCTTTCCTCCCCAGAGCCGATCCTGCAAACACACACCCTGTGGAGGACTCTGCGATGATTCTGCAAACACACAGAGAGAGATGGACCAATGAGAGACGGAGCTGAATCACTATCACAGTTTCCCATGATGCTCTCTGGCAGTGAACTCTTACATGATGCCGTTGGCGTTCCCGGTGGCGTTCTCCTTCTCCTGCAGCGCGGGGATGTTGATGTACAGATCTTTGATCTCTCTCCTGATGGTGCGCACCGCCGCAGACGACATGTCTTTAGCCAGCTGAGACACACACACACACACACACACACACACACACACACACACACACACACACAGGTCAGCTGATCATCCAACACCCACTACGACATCACTTCCTGTCACCACAGAGGCAGCTGTGCAATATATACCTGGCTGCTATATCTTCAGACTGTTACAGGATGTGTATTTTCAAAACCTCAACAAAACAAAAGCCTCAAAACCCACCTCTTCAACTCTGTATCCATAAGCCCCCCCCCCCCCCCTCTCAACCAACTTCCACCTGACTGCTTTGTTTGTCTACCCTCCCTCCCAAATGTAAAGCGTCTTTGGGTTCAAGAAAAGCGCTATAGAAATAAAATGTATTATTATTATTTAGTTTTTAGTCTTTAATATTTGGAGGTAACATTGAGCCGTCTCTTCTCTGCTGTAACAATGCGTGTGGGACTAACAGAGGGGCTCTGAAACACGTTGGGACCATGGACCCCTGGTTTCATGTGACCGTGACGTGATATATGTGACCTGTTGTTAATGTTCTCTTTGATCCGTTCGCCTCCATCTACTGGCCTCATCCTTTCTGTGTCACTAATGCTGTTGAGATGTCTGTTATCTTCTGGCCGGGACAACAGCTGGAGATTAGCCATGTTGGCTGAAGCTGATCCACTTCCTGTTTGTTGTGACAGTGGATCAACGGGGGCTGTCCACGGCGCCATGAACACACACCAAACTCTGTTCTCACTTTGTAGGGCAGGACTCCTGCCACGAAGGCGCGCCCGTAGCACTTGGTGAGCTTCCCTCTCTCCGTCATCAGCACCGGCTGCAGCTCCTTCACCGGGTTCACCGTCACCATCACCTCGCCTCCGCCCTTAGGGTAGTACGCCCTGAAACACGCACACACAGTTACAGACACACACACACACAGTTACAGACACACACACACAGTTACAGACACACACACACAGTTACAGACACACAGTTACAGACACACACACAGTTACAGACAGTTACACACACACAGTTACAGACACACACACAGTTACAGACACACACACACAGTTACAGACACACACAGTTATAGACACAGTTATAGACACACACACAGTTATAGACACACAGTTATAGACACACACACAGTTACAGACACACACAGTTATAGACACACACACAGTTACACAGACACACAGTTACAGACACACACACAGTTATAGACACACACACAGTTACACAGACACACAGTTACAGACACACACACAGTTATAGACAGACACGGACACACAGTTACAGACACACACAGTTATAGACACACAGTTATAGACACACACACAGTTATAGACACACAGTTATAGACACACACACAGTTACACACACACAGTTACACACACACACACAGTTATAGACAGACACACAGTTACAGACAGACACACACAGTTACAGACACACACACAGTTATAGACACACAGTTATAGACAGACACACACACAGTTACAGACACACACAGTTATAGACAGACACACACACACAGTTATAGACACACACAGACACACACACACACAGTTATAGACACACACACACACAGTTATAGACAGACACAGTTATAGACAGACACACACAGTTATAGACACACACAGACACACACACCACAGTATACACACACACAGTTATAGACAGACACACAGTTATAGACAGACACACACACACACAGTTATACACACACACACACACAGTTATAGACACACACACACACAGACACACACACAGTTATAGACAGGGATGCTCCGATCAATCGGTCACCGATCGAGATCGGCCGATACTCACTCTCTGCCGATCGATCGGTGCTCTCTAAACATGCCGATCGCATGACGTAAAATACATGACACTCTTCTCTGTGCGGCAAAACAAGCTCGCCAACATGTCTTCACCGGTCTGGCATTATTTTAAGGTGTCCGAAAAAGACAGTAAAATAGCGGAATGCAACGTGTGTGAAATCCTGCAGCTCCGCCCGCCGGACCGGTGAGCGAAACACACACAGGGAGAACCAGACCGCAGTTCAGTTCCTCATATTCCAAACGAGAAGTTACGGTAGCAAATCACCCGGTTCTTTAGGACCAGAACTATTACCGGGATACAACCCGGAGGAACCAGGCATGGAGGGAGGAGCCAGAGACAGTGGGTGAAACTGGTAGGTTTTCGCCTGTTTGGGGAGTTTATATATATATATATATATATATATATATATATATATATATATATATATATATATATATATATATATTGCTCGCATAAAATCCCCGGGGTTTTTTGCTTTGTATGTCGGGGGCGGGAGATTCATGTGATTGGTTGTTGGTCGCGTTGCTCGCAAAAAATCCCCAAGCTTTCAGACACGCCCAGCTCCAAGATTTTCAAGATTTGTTCAAAGCTGCTGTGTGGACGTACCGTAAGAGTTAGACCTAACACACTTAGCTATTTGATCTACCTCTGGAACAAGATAAACTAGTTATTATAAATATATTTATTCTTCATTGTCGGGTCACTCATTAGTTGCTGGATCAGTGAGCTGCATGAGATACAGACAGGCTGTCAGGAGAGAGAGAGAGAGGGAGAGGGGGGAGAGAGGGGGAGAGGAAAAGAGAGCGCTTCCGCTCATCTCTCCCGTGTTATTCTCCAAGTGAATGTAAACTTGAATAATGTACATCATTTGAATGTAATAATTAAGTTGTTGTTTGTGGAAGCTCCAGAGAATGAGCATTAACTGAGTTTAAACATCACTTTAAATGGAAGATTTAAAGTGATGTTTAAATCTTCCATTTAGGCCCCGCCCACTCGATCGGATCGGCCGATACTGATTCCGGCGATCGGCCCCGAAATTGGCGATCGGAGCATCCCTAGTTACAGACACACACACACACAGTTACAGACACACACACAGTTACAGACACACACACGTTTCTACGGAGCAGGAAACTGACCTCAGTCTGACGTCACAGTCAAAGTGGACTCCAAACTTCTCCATGGTTGGTTTAAACACCTGAAGAAGAAGAAAACCAGCCGTTAACATCCATCCATATTACAGGCTGTTAGCAAAGTTTACTTTTACACCGCCTGTAAACAGCGAGTACATACGGTGTTTTTAAAGTGCATATTTACAATGCTCTATCTGTATTAAAGGAGTGTTTTCAGTGTTGATGTCAAATGTATATTTATGGTGTAATTAGTGTTAATATAGTCTGTATTTGAAGTGTACATATATTGTAATCAAAGTGTTTTTGCAGTGGTATAAAGCGCATTTCCAGTGTATCTGCAGTGAGTATTTACATTGTACATATACAGTATTGTTAGAGTGTATAAACAGGATGTCCTCAGAGTATCAGTGTGTATGACAGTATATCTCCAGTGCAGGTACCTTGACGGTGTAGTCGATCTGAGGAGCCATCTCTGCGTTGGTTCCTCCCTTCAGAACGAGCTGTGAGGGTCCGTCAGCGAACACAGCGCAGGGGAGGGAGGCCTGCAGCAGCAGACACACACTCCTAACACACACACATTATAAGATTAATAAGATGAACCTTGATTGATCTCCCTTTGGGGAAATACAGTGCCAGAGTTGTAGAGAGCGAAGAAGCTGCCAGAGAAGGTAACATGCTTCATACTTAACAAGCTATATGAGCGAACACTTAGTCCGGACACACACAGTGCATTTAAACAACGTGTTATCTATAAGGTGTGTTTACAGTGTTGATGTATTTAGAGTGCATTCAGACTCACCCGGCTGTCTGTGGGTCGGCTGTGTGGTTTCCACAGTGGATCTTTCCTGGAGTCAGACTGATTTCAGTGGAGCCGATCTCTGCTCCCTGCAGACTCCCAGAACACAGATCTGAGACCAGCTGCAGGCCGCTCAGGTGCTGAGGTCTACACACACACACACAGTATATATCTTTATGATACAGCAACTGCAAACAATAGCCATCTTCGTCGCACACTCCTCTGCACATTGTCTTTAAGAAACCGTTGTAACTTCTGTACGGAGCACGAACAAAGGTTTGGCTTCGGGTCAAGATAAAGCAGTAGCTCTCAAACGGGTTGGGTTTAAAGAAAGAAATGTTCCTGCTTTTGAGTTTGCTTCGTCACGGCTGAATGCACTGTGTAAAAGCCAGCTAAATGTAATGTACCATCATTAAATATGATCCTTTAGAGTAGAGCAGGGTCTCTGCAGGAACCCTGGAGTCACATGGAAGACCCTTTCCGTACATGTTAAGACCTCATCTCCACGTTGAGTTCTAACCGGTTACCTTGGCGACACACTTCACCTCACATTCACTATATACAGTATTGATTGTCCTTCCTCCTTATCTTCCAACCATTTGGACGCAGACTTGCATTTCCCCATAACGATGTTGCTTAGCAACCGGCGTAAACGGAGCTTCGCGCTATCAAGCAGTGAGCGTGCGATGTCCTGTTCAGATGACGTCAAACCCAACGGGATGCCATCAATAAACTACAGAATCACACGACACACCTACGCCATGATTACATTCAGGCAGACTGCAGAACACAACCTCTCTGGATACTTTATATACTTATTGAAAACAAGCTACAACATGTAACACCTTGGACAATGCCCTTTTTTCGCTAAATTGATTTATCAACTTGTAATACTTTAAGACCCCGCGGACCCCCTGTAGACCTTTTTATGCATTTCCTTATGTTGTTTATGTTTTGCTCCACCATACACCAAAGCTAATAACTTGTATGTGACCTGGCAGTAAACCCCATGCGTGGGACATGCTAACAAAGCTACATTTAGCATTTCCTGTATTATTACTTAGAACTAAACCGACTAAACGTCCCATGAGTGTTGAGGGTGTTCTGCTCATGATAACAAAGACAATAACTTATGGATGCAAGAAAATCTCAAGACGTCCATTTAGAAAATTACACAAATCTGACCTTTTGGGGAATTTCACTGCAAAGAAACATCTATTATTAAAAACAGCTGTGTGCTCCTAAAGGCCCGGACACACCAAGCTGACACCAAAGAACTCACACAGACCGACCCCGACTGTTGCGTCGCCTCGGCCACGTGTCGCACTGGAACACACCGACTTCAGCCGACGGCCAAGAAGCACGTACGAACTGCGCATTCGTGAGTGGCAATAACTCTCCTTACCAGAAGGCGGCGGTAGTGTGTATTCGACATTCAAAAGAGGCAACAACCGGAAGACACACTGCGTGATAACCGAGAGAAGAAGAACGGACTGCGTAATATAAACAACAAGTAGCGTGTGCGTTCCATGCTCTCTCTACAGCGAGAAGCTCACGGGGCTTTCCCGAACCTGAGTCGAGAGCTGGAGTTCAATGAAGTCTCACATTTGCCTTCTTAAGTTTGTTTGGGTCCCTCACTTCCGTTTCGCTTCTCATGCTCTGATTCGTTAGCTGAACAGCCAATCAGAGGGATTTCTTTGGCCGACTGCCGCTTTTCGGCCGGAAAGGCGTCGGCACGGCCGAAAAGACACGACGGTGTGGGACACACCAATCTGAGTAGGGCGTGCCGACGCTTATCGTCGGCCAAAATCGGCTTGGTGTGTCCGTCCGGCTTAAAGTGAAACGGCACACATGAGATCAATAAACGTCAAGATCAGCCATGATGCACAGCTGCAGAAGAAAGACTGACACAGAACTTTTCCGTCTCATTTCCACACATTTGAAGCGTCTGCATGAGGCGGGTGGATGCAGAATGTAAAAGCGACTTTAGTTGATTGATTGTATAGAAGATTTGCCGATGCGTCTGAACGGACTTTAAGTGCATTGACGGTGTGTTTACAATGTGTTCTACAAAGTGTATGTATGGGGTTTAATTGCATTGCATTTGCTGTGCGTTAACAGGGTATATAAATAGTGCCGTTTTCTATGTAAAATGGATATTAACAGTTTAATTAGTGCTTATAAAATTGATTTCGGTGAGAATTTATAATAAATACAATAATCTATGGAAGCCAGACAAGCTAATCTCAGAAGTCCATTGAAAAAATACCCAAATCTGACTTTTTTTAAAAATATTACTGCAAATAAACATACAAGTCATCTATTATTAAAACAGCTGTGTGCTCCTAAGAGACTGCTGGTGAAATCGGCACACATGAGATCCTTCCAGCAGATCAATAAAGCTAATTATCAGCCATGATGCCCAGCTGCCGGTGAGGGAGGAGGACTGCGACACAGAATCTGTTAAGTTTTCCGCTTCATTTCCACACATGTACAAGCTTCTGCGTGAGGAAGATGGATGCATGTACATCGACTTCATGTAATTAACTAAATTAATAATTAAATCTTATAGTAGTTATGCTCGTTTCAGAAACTCTTGAGCTATAACCCGATGCATGCAGTCTGGTCTCCATTGATGCTACGCATATCGTTTGATCAAAGTTTCCAAACAGCAGCACTTAAAATAAACTTTTATCCAACAGGTGATTTCAACCTGGATCCAGCATGTTGTTAGAAACAATAAAGTAGTAATAAATACAGCAGCTTTTCTGTTTTTATTGTTATCTGCAGAGTAAGTTAGCGGCTGCACTTTAATGAATAGGCTAACGTTAGCCTGCTAGCTCCTGGCCATGTCTGTGCAAAGAGAGAGAGGCGGGGCTCCGTTCATTCCTATGAGACTCGCTCTGTGGCGCGTGAAGACCGAAATGCATAACAAAGTACCCGTATGTGGGCCCACTGAGCATGCGCAGTTGAGGTTTCCCTTAAGCCTCGCCTCCGCTCTCCCTCTCAATCAGATGAGTGAAGGGAGAAATACAGTCTGGATTCAAACAAGTGATATTAAAGTGTTAGTTTATTTTGCTCAAATTATTTACAGACGTCTCTTTCCCAGACAGTCCACAGATGTTTAACTTTCACGGTCAACTTGTATTTCTTCTACTGCTTAGTTCAGTTTTATTTTCTATTTTGAGATGAAAATTGTTTATTTTCATTGTGTATATATGTTCACAGATTGGTATATAATATAATATTTATAATTTATTCCGTATATTTTATACTGTTTAGATACTCTGAATATAGGTCTTTGTTTTACTGAGAATATGTTTATATTGTTTTGTTGTTATCTTTATTTCATTTCAAATGTTGAAGTACTTTTGTAATTATTGTAGATTGACTGTCAAAATGCTGCGTTGATCAATATAATTTCCTAATTTGGGATCAATTAAGTATCTATCCATCTATCTAATGTAAATCAATGGGAAACAGTCCTTTTGGGCTAAAATGACGTCATACGGGTTGTAGTACCACCGTCGGCCACTACGTTCATTCACAAAAAACTGCCTCATCGCTCTCCCTTCCTGGGGTTTTGAGCTACCGCAGAGCTAACGCTAACTCACCTGAGCCCCGGCGTGCTCCTGCCGGCCCGGATCTTTGTGATCTTCACGGAGGTTCCCGTGATGCAGCTGAGCGCCGCGGAAACCCGAAGGATCTGCCCGCCCTGAGAAGAAAGAAAACGGGGAGGAAACTCATCACACACCGGTCAGAACAGCCAGCTAGCTAGTTAGCTCCTCTGTTAGCATGTTAGCAGCGCGGTGATATTAAAGTGTTTATTGAATCTACTCACGCCCTCCATCACGCTGCCGTCGATCTCCATCACCTCAGATTCCATCTTCTGCCGAACACCTAACTTTAACTGTTTAACAGAGAGTCTGCTTCTGAACCGCCGGAAAGATGCTGCCGATTCAACTTCTGTGTGTCGAGTTAGACGGAACAGCCTCACGCACTTCCGGTGCATTTCAAAATAGAACGAGGAGTTGTTTTGCTGCTGTGAAGAATGACTCGCGGTTGTTTGTTGTCAGCTGGTTGTCAGTAAAGCGACATTTTAATTATGTCAGTCGTTTTTTTCTCTTCATTAAATCTAACTTTGTATGTTTCTGGAGCCTGTTTGTTTCTTTTTTTAATAAAATAACTATTTGTATTTGTTTTATTAAACGCTTCTTTAAATACTTGATTCTGATTGGTCAATTCGGACATTTCAGAGGCCAGTTATACTCCATAACACACCGCTGCCAAGCTTAACATCACAGTAAAGTTCAACTATCAGAGTAACAGCAGCCTTGACACTATATTCACATAAATATATGTAACATTTTCTATAACATATGCTTTATTTTGAAAACCATTTCCGGTTTAGCTCCGGTGTTTCAGAGAACTTTATGCTCTGGTGCGTCAGAGGTGTCTCCCCCTATAGGCCGCGAAGGGAACTGCAGCAGGAGTCACTTTCTACAACAAGGGATGCTGCACAGTCACTGCCTGATAATAAGAATAATAGGAATAAAAGGAATAACAATACAATTAAAAACAGTTTTTTAATGTCCAGTAAATGGTGAGTGCAACACAATAAATAAATAAGTAGGATTACAAACATATCGAGATTTTTATTTTATTTTTTTACTTTTTAATGCTATTTTATTTCTATTTCTGAAATATTTTGGACTTTTTATTTCTGTGTCTTAATTTCTCTAATGTACATTGCCAGGGCCGGCCCTCGGCATAGGCAGTATAGGCGAATGCTAAGGGCGCATCAACCCATAGGGGGCCCCGCATTTTTTTATTTCATAACAACACAATTTCCCGATTTTGGATCAACAAAGTACATCTTATTATCTTATACTAACAGAACTACGCCTATATTGCGTACAGCGCCCATAAACTATGGCACACCCCCCCCCCCAAATCAAGTTGAACTGCCCCAGCCCCAGTAAAAAACAGAGGTTTATGTGAAATTGTTCTTTTTTTGAAATAATGGTTTTAGTGTGCAATTATAGGTTTTAATTTTGTATTTGTATTCATTTAAAATAAATCAAACTCCCAAAAAACGTACACAGCTTCTGTGTGCTTTGGAATTTACATTGTAAGCGGCCGCGGGGGGGGAGAGCGTTTCCACTGCAGCGGGTAGCCCCGTTTAAGCGTCCTTAACCGTCCTCAAGCGGCCAGGCCGGTTTTTGGTGGCGTTTCCATATAGCCTAGGACAGGTGTCAGTACCAGATATGTTCGGGCTACCAGATATGTTCGGGTGTATTTCCGTCGCATCCGTTATCTGTCATATTCGTCATATTTTACGGCAACTCAAGAGGGCCATCACGGTCAAATTCCGAACATTTAAACATAGCCGACACTTCATTCTTTACTTTGTCCGTTATTATATGTAGAAGATTATACTTTTTATCCGTCATATTGTTTCCATAGCAACAACTTCAAACAGGCAGAGCCTACACTTCATTCTTTACTTTGTCCGTTATTATATGTAGAAGATATTAATTTGTTCTCCGTCATGTTGTTTCCATAGCAACAACTTCAAACAATAACAACTAACCGCTAGCCGCAAAGCTAGCATCACAGCCACTGCTCCGTTTTCGGAGACTTTGCACACGTTTTTCACAAAGATTTTCACGCTAGGAGTACTTCCATTCGCTTCGTCTTGATCTGTAGATGTGATTTGATGTGTCGTGTGTCCCCAACTCCTCTCCAAAGTTCAGATATTTAATAAAATACTCAGGGGAGTTTCCTGAATGTTCATGCCAAAAGCCAAGCACTAGGCCCTGGATAAATTAAGAGGCTGATCTCGGGCACTTTTGTCCACTTTCCCTGGTGGTAGAAACTCAAGCCATACATCCCTGGAATCGTCTCAGAGAGTAGATGATCAGTGGGGCCTTGTTTTTACTGAATGATGTGTTTTTTTTATGGGGAATTCAAATATGAGCTTATTTTTAGGATTTTCGGAGACTTTGCACACGTTTTCACAAACATTTCCACGCTAGGAGTATGGGAGTACTTCCATTCGCTTCGTCTTGATCTGTAGATGTGATTTGATGTGTCGTGTGTCTCCCAACTCCTCTCCAAAGTTCAGATACTATATAAAAATACTAAAAGGTAAATAAAACATTAAACATAATGACAAAATAACAACCTGAAAGATATGTATTCTATCTACACATTTCGTAATTATCTAATCTAGTGGCCTTATAAAAGTGTTGGCTAAAGTAACGCAGAATATATATATTTTTTCATTGTAAATAATTAGAAACATTATTTATGTGCACAAGTACATGGGACCCCACCATAGCACCCCACACATAACAAGCTGTCCCGAGTTCCTCCGGCTGCAGTTCCGCAGACGGCCGGTGTGTGGCAGCAGAGCGCTGGGAGCAGAGGGAGGTGAGTAGACGGACATGACGGATGACCGATGCGACGGAAATACACCCGAACATATCTGGTAGCCCGAACATATCTGGTACTGACACCGGCCAGCGGGTACTTTTTCCCTCTTTTTCCGGCCTCATAAAATCGTGGTTCCCTTAGATCAGGGCCAGGGCTGAACTAGTGACGTCAACACTCTCGACTGCTGATTGGTCAGAGAGAATCGTCACAAGATTGCGCGCGAGTTCATCCCTAGCGTCGCATATATATCTAGAAGCAAGCTTGCAGCATTTTTATACATAGCATTTTGTAAACGGAGGAGCTACAAAAATGGCTACTTCTAAGAAAAGCACACCGTGGTCGACCGAGGAGGTGACGACGTTCCTTCATCTCATTGGGGATGATAAAATCCAGCGGGGAGCTCGACGGAACAACTCGAAATGTGAAGCCGATCGCCCCGCCTACACTGCGTTGCTAGCCCAGGTCCTAAACTGTAATGGAAATGCGCCACGGCCTGGGCCGGCCAGCGAGGCAGCCCGAGGCCAGAGCGAGGACGTTTAAGGGACGCTTAAACGGGGCTACCCCGCTGCCCCTTTCACACCAGCGCTTTTTCAGCTCCGGCTCTGAGCTGGAGCCTGAAAAGCGCCGGTTTTTCCTGTTCACACCGCAGCGGCGCCGGCTCTTAGCTCCGGAATCGCGTTCACTTCCAGCTCCAACAAATTGTCGGTCTAGAGGCAAGAGCTTCGGAGCTAAGAGGTGGCGTCGCTTACGTCTCTCTTACGTCGAGGCGTGCATGAAACTAAACCCTCCTCCCCTGAACATCGGTCGACTGTCATGCCTGCCTACAAGCAGTAGTGCTTATAAACATACTTTATAAAGTCAGGCAACACTAACCAGGCTTCGTGTGATTCTGTTTATTTGTACCTTACTTTGACCATCCGCTCACTGTTATTGATCATTGTGGAGAGAGGCAGACGTGTTGTTTTGTATTATAGCAGTTATCGGATGGAATCAATACATGGGCTGCACAGGTTGTCATGTCCGACTATCACAAGTAGAATCATAATAAAAATACGCCGGTAAAATGTGCCTGTAGAAAACGGTTTATGCCACAACAGGATAGCAATAGCAAGTAGTCAGTTTAGCTTCGGTTGCTATGCTAACATCACCCATTTTATACCAGAGAAACTTTCATAACAGCGTTGTGATGCCAAACAGCGTCAATTCAGACTGACACACATTCACTTAGGCTAAGGGGAACTGGGGATATGTATCAGCTGCTTGTGTGAGTCGGACAGTGAATACTTTAGAGCGGCCGCAGCAGTGTGAGCTAACCGGGAGCTAACGGAGGAGAATAAACTCCCGTGGAAGAGTAGCCAACACTGCAGCGGTCGGTAAATGCTGCAGAAACACATTAATAAACAATGAACCACGGCACTCTGGAGCAAAGTATAAGGTTGGAGAAGTCGTTATTCAATTTAATCTGGCTTCGTGTGATTAAAAGCAACACGATCATCGACCCGACGCAGTTCCCCGTTGTTGTGAGCGCCGTAACGCCGTTGGGGAGCAAATCAGCGATGTAAACGATGACGTCATGACGCAGCAGCGGCAGCACCAGTCGGGCTCTGGGCGGTGTGAACAGAGCGGGAGCAGAAAAGGGAAACCGGAGCTGAACCAGAAAAGCTTCCGCTCGGAGCTAGAAAGGGAAAAGCGCTGGTGTGAAAGCCGCATGAGAGAGCTCTCTCCTGAAAGACTGAGCGGCTCTGATAACCTCAGCTCAGTGAGGTAAAGGCACACCTTTATATCATCATTATAGTTATAAAAAAATAAGAGAATAGGTGAAAAACAGGTATAAAATACTATATGACAGTACAAAAAAGTTGTTATTAATAAACAACAATATAGTTTGAATGGGGAGTGATTTGTAAAATATCCATAAAAACAAAGTAAATCTGCTTCCAGTTCTGTTTCATCTGGGTGTTGAGAGATGTATCCATAGATCTCCTAATATTGCTCTCAAAGTGCACCAGATTGATGCTTTTAACTTCAATATTGCATGCCCCCAGACCCCCCTAGAGGAGGTGAGACCCTAACCCTACAAAATAAGATCATATTAAATGAACCTAATATATATATATTTAAAACATGATAAATAAATCTGATTAATGAATAATCCTCTGGTCCGGGTTTTTTTGTTTGATTGCTATTACACTACCAGCTAAATCTATATTTTTATATGGTCTTTTTTTTTAAACTATACTACTCTTTAGTTTTTTTTGTAATCTGTTATTGTTTTCTTTACTTTATGTATTTTAATTATTAATTGGTTCTGATTAATAATTAATGCTGCAGTTCCTCTACTGACCGCAGGGGGCAGTGTGACGTTGGTGCTGGAATCAGTCTGAACGAGAACAATATACTCCGCGCTGATTGGCTGCTGAGAGGGGAGTGCAGCTGTGACACCAGCGGTAGAGAGTAGAGATGGCGGCGGTGACCAGAGGCTCCTTCACTGTGTTCCGGCGACTGGTGAGAAACGGGGAAATAAAGAGTCATTTTTAATAATGCCATCTGTTTAAATGTGTGTTTGTGATGCTAACACCGACTGTCATCACTCCGCTAGCCGCTGGGTCA